AGTTCTTACTGTATTAGCGTTAGCGGAGCCGCCCGCTACCTAACGGGAGTTAGCGGATGCCTTACCGTAACGCTATGCTATGTCAAAATTAGTTTACGCACCATTTACGTCTGTAAGAACAGCAACTTCTAATATTTCCTCGATAAAAAACACCAAGGAAAAATTATTGAAACTCGGGAATCTTCAGGATAAATAAAAGTTGGCAAACAAGCAAAAAAAAGTTGGGTTAGATCACTCAATTCAGCTGTCAAAATGTAAACAGAATAAGGAATTAGAGGATTTTTGTGACTTCGTGTCCGAGACACTAAGCAGCTCCGAGTAACTCAACGGGTAAAAGTAATACAGTAACAGATCGCATGGCAAAGCTGCTTTGGCTTATGTATGCGCTGTTGTAGGATTGTAGACATCTTTTTTAAAATTTCACCTGATTTTTTATTTTAAAGCTTAAAATTTGTATTAATTGTTTAGAAGACTTATGCCCCCCTCAATGTTGCTTCACGCCCCCCCAGAGGGGCGCGCCCCCCAGTTTGGGAACCGCTGGTCTAGAGGTACTGCTACAAACTCACTTTCCAGGTTCGGTAATCGTTGAAGCTCTGAACCAGGTCACTCCGCCTATCGAAGGGTCACAAAGCCCCAACGGCAGGAGCAAAAGGCTGGCTGGGAAAATCTTCACAATGAACAGAATAAAATAGGCGATTGATAGCTCCAGACCCTACAAATCTCAGGCAAAGACAGGATCTTTCCCGCACAACTGCAAAAAGGCTACGAGTACTTAAAGGTACACCTACAAAAGCTTTTTGAGGCAAGCCTACTTCTAGGGCACATACCGCTATCTTGGAGGAGAGCTAATGTGATATTTATACCAAGAACGGGTCGTCGACCTGAGGATGAACCAAAATCATATCGTCCCATTAGCCTAACCTCCTTTCTCCTTAAGACAATGAAGACCGCTCTACTCAAAGCAATTTGCTTATCAGCCAGGCAAATCCACAAAAAGTACTTAACACTGCCCGGTTAAAGACATTGAAAAAACAATCGAGTGCAAAGAGATCGCTCTCACAGCATTCATCGATATAGAAGGTGCCTTTGACAACACCTCACATCAATCATTCGCTAGAGCATTACAAGAATGGGATGTTGAAGTCACAATTGTAAAATGGATAGAGTCGATGCTGAAACACCGTTACGTTACGGCTGAAATAAACGGAGCATTAGCTACCGCTACCACGGTCAGAGGGTGTCCTCAAGGGGGTGTTCTTTTTCCACTACTATGGACTCTGGTGGTAGACAAAATTCTTACCAGACTGAATAATGCTGGATACCAAGTCATAGGCTATGCAGATGACCTGGCCATTATAATCAAGGGCAAACATGAAGGCGTAATGACAATCCGAATGCAAAGTGCCTAAACATCGTTAAAAATTAGAGCGAAGGCGAGGGATTATCCCTAAACGCAAACAAAACAATCCTTGTCCCGTTCACAAGAAGAAGGAAGCTAAATTTGAAAGTCCCCACCCTTAACGGTACACAACTAACATTTTCCAACGAAGTGACGTACTAAGAGGTCACCCTGGACCGAACATCTGGTCATGGTCATGCCGAAAACTTGTTGGCAAAACATGGGGACTAAAGCCAAAGATGGTATTCTGGATTTACCAAACTATAATAAAGCCCATGATCACATATGCCTCATTGGTGTGGTGGCCTAAAACCCAGCAAGTCACCGCTCAGATCAAGCTAAGAAAGGTACAAAGGCTGATATGTCTAGGAATAACGGAAGCAATGTCAACTTGCCCCACCGCAGCCCTAGAGACGCTACTCAATATGCCCCCACTCCACCTATGTGTGACAAAAGAGGCAATAACCAGCGTTCACAGGCTATTCCAAACAGACAAGTTCAAGTCTGGTGATCTGAGGGGACATCTGCGCATCCTTAATTTCATAAAACTGGAGAATGCCAGCAAACCAAGTGACCACATGATGGTCAGATTGGACTTAGAGATCCCATTCGCAGTGGTAATAAACGACCGCCAATCATGGGAGAACAAAGAATTACCACAAGCAGACAATGCATCTCTGTGGTACACAGATGGATCCAAGCTAATGGAAGGAGCTGGACTGGGCATTTCCGGCCTTAACTTCAAGCTCTCCAAGGCATTGGGTAAACATCTTACAATATTTCAAGCCGAATTGCTTGCCATAGATAGCCTTAGCCTTAAGGGCTTTCAAATGCACGTCAAAACTAGTCTGGGAATGTAAACAGACCTTTAAAACACTAGCGACACACAACCAGGTAACGTTGATGTGGCTGCCTGATGGTCATCGAGGCATAGAAGGAAACGAAGAATCAGATGGCTTTGCAAAAGAAGGGGCCTCAACAATATACCATGGACCAGAGCCCTACTGTGGCGTAATGAAAAGCCACATCATGAAAGAACTCAACAAATGAGAAAAAGATCAACTGTCATCATATTGAAGGAACACTCCGGAACTCAGACAGTCAAAAAGGTTTATTACCCTTTCAGCAAAAAGAGCTGAACAGCTCCTAAACATGAGCAGATCAGACATCAGATTGGTGGTAGGACTGCTCACAGGACACTGCCTGGTAAAATACCATTTAAGGTTAATGGGCAGAGTAGAAGACGATTTCTGCAGATTCTGCTCAGACGCAATAGAGACCGCAGAGCACCTGTTCTGCGAATGTCCAGCCCAATTCTGCAAGAGGCTTAAATTTCTCGAGAAGGCAACACTGTTACCAGAAGAAGTGGGCCAACTGACACCCTGGATAATAGCTTTCTTCGGCAGAAGTCTACGCTTCCTGGAGACAACTTAAGATGTAGAGTCACGTACAAAATATCTGCAAAGGTAGCAGTGCTGAGCGGCTGAAAAGCCGAAACGACTCCCCCACAATCTACAATCTACAATCTGGCTCTTTCATTAGTTCTAGTTCAATGTACCAAGCGAATATTCTATTATCAGAAATAATTATAACAATCACAAATTCGTAATATTGATGTTCGAAAAATTGACGACCAGTTTCCATTAATTTTACGTACTGACAATTTTTTTTTCTGTGAATAATTGCGAATTATCGAAAAACGGGCTTTTGTGAAAATATGGACCTTTCCTCCCAATAGTCTAGGGTTGAAATGGCACTGTAAGTTAGGAGCTCTACATTTGATATTTCAGCAGCAAAATACTGGTATTTTGTGAACCTTTTCCTGGTATGCTTGTGTGTTTCTAAAATTCCTTCAATATTGAGATCGCACCCCCAAAGTAATTTGCAATTCTAGTGAAGTTCCCCAAGCGGTGTATATTGTTACTGCCCAACCAGTACCATTTTTACCCGAGACTAGGATGGAAATGTCCATATTTTCACAAAAACCCTTTTCTCGATGAATCGCAATTATTAGTTTCAACCCCTTAAACCACCCCCAAAGTAATTTGCAAGTCAAGTGACGTTCCCTAAACGGTGTATATTGGTACTGCCTATAATTTCCAGTTCCATTTGTGCCCAAGACTATCATTGGTTTTGAGGCACCAGAAGCTCATAAAATCTAAAATAAAAAATCAGGGTCCGTATTTAAAAAATAAAGTTGATGATGGTGGCCCAAAGACGAAACATAAGATTTTAAATTTGATGGTGGCATCTTGTAGAGAAACACTGATGAAGTGACATTTATTTTGGGATTTCTCTTTAAATAAGCTCAGAAAAAACCCTGTATCTCTTACCGTTTCCAATATCCCAATGATATTGGTCGAATTTGGAACACCCTCTACATGACTCAAGATACAACACTAAAGACCTTAGATTTTCTGATGGCTCTGAAAATTCAGTTTTTCAAGACCTAAAATTCTGCTGATTGAAAACTTATTGGGACTCCAAGGATTCGAAATACCTACCTACTCCAAAGATTCAGAGGACCTTGACTGACATACCCTTGATGTGAAGACTCCAAAGATCTTACTTATAAGCTTCAAAAATATCCTGGAGTCTTTATTTAGACTAAATATTTTTAAGAAACAATATCAAAGAATTTGAAGATTCTTAAAACTTTGAAGCTTCATTATTCAACATTTTATAATGATCACTTTGGGTCCTCCGCTGATTAAGGACCTAAAACTAAAGATTCTAGATTTAAAAGCTTAGTCTTGAAGATTCTAAGGCTCTTGATTGGGAAACAAAATGTATAATTCATTTAACATGCTAAAAAATTTATTATCAGACTTGCTCTTCAAGTTGCCAGTGGCATGAAGAATAATTTTTTCACTTTGAAAGCTAGCAATTGCTGAGAGGGCCTTTCCGCTCGTTAACAAGCCATATAAATCTCACATACCGTTTTCGTATGAGGAATTGTACTAAAATATTAGAAAATTGGATAGTTTTATTTGAATTTCCCTCTATATAGACAATCTTTAATTAAAAAATATTGACATTGCATGTATTTTAATAGCATCCAAAAGCAGTAACTAATGTTTATAGCTCAATAACAATAATGTTTTATTCAATACCAATAAAATGCTAGACGAAAAGAGCAGTTTAATTTGCATCCGTTTCGGAACCTAAAAAAGGTCTTTTATAGCTCCCCCTAGCAAACGGCAATAATTTTTCTTTAATAGTTTGGGATCTGTTTCATGCGGTACGATGAGCGTTTTAAGGGTGAGTTATTACTCCGTAGCGAGTCACTAAATTAAGCTAGTCAATTAAAATCTTTTCTTTTTCAATCCAACACCTTTTGAGACTTTTCAAATGAAACGACTTTATAACGAGATATTCTCTAGCCTTTTCCAGAAAGAAAAAACCCCCAATGCCATGATTATTATTTACAACACACTTATCGCTTAACACACTTCTATATCACGGCAGCTATAAAGATAAGTTTTCATTACGCTCTCGTGTAGATTACAAAAAAGCCCTTAAAACGCCGTTTTATATCATATAGGGAGGAAGTGTTTGACGTTTTATGTGTGCTTTTCACAGAGTTTTTCCTTTTTTTCAGAACAGTGACTCCTGATGAGGTCCAGGCTTATTGCGATACTCAAGATTCGTGTTGCACTTTTGTGGAAACTTCGGCAAAAAAGAATTTTCAAGTGGACGAGGTGTTTTATCAGCTTTTCGCTGTTGCTAATTTGCCAGGAGAAATGGCCCCTAACCATCATAAGAGGGTGAGTAGATAAAATTTCTTTATAATGAACTTTTTTCCTAAATCACTCTATAAATTATTTCCTCCATTCAATTTTTACTAATAAATATTTTGAATATTTTTTGGTGCAGAAGAACATAATGTTTCATGGTGAGTAACGGGAACGCGTCTATAGTGTTTGTATATGTTTTTCTAGGTGTTTTTTTCTCCTAAGTGTCCTTCTTTCGTATAATATAAGTACAAAATATAAAACACATAATACAATTTACGACTCGACACGAAAATAGTTTTACACTTTGAAATAAAATAATATGGAAATGTGTCTGGTTCCGCAAGTCTACATTTGTGTAAGCATGTAATGGAAAATGTTATCTTCAACTATTTTGTGTAAAAGGGCTGTAAGGACTGTAGTAAGGTACATAGAAACTGGCTGTAGTCACTTTAAATTTGACTGTAACTTTTAATTGTGACTATGAATCTGATGACTTAAAAAGCGGGAAACCGAGTCCTCGGACCATCACATTAAAATCCAACTCTCTAGGCAAGGCACTAGACCATTAAGTAATTATTGATAAAAAATGTTGAAATAATGTTTGTAAGTAAATAAAACGCTATAAATATACAGGTCCAGAGACAATTGAGTGTGTAGACAGCTATACAGGTCCAGAGACAGGTCCGAAACAGCTTTTCGAGACAGGTCTGTCTACACAGACAGCTTTTCGAGATAGGTCTGTCTACACAGGCAGCTTTTCGAGACAGGTTAGTAGTAACGGAGGCACCTGAGCCTAAGAAATTTTTCGATACCGTGGGTAAATTTCTAGATTGGCGGCGCCTTTGATCTGAAATTTCGTTGATTTGACCTGTGCCAACCGGTTAACCGTGAAACATTGGCTACGTTCACCAGAACCAAAACGGATTGTATACGGTTTACAAATATCAACAGAATAAGTTGGGTAAACTCTTGGTTCTGCTGAACGATCCAACTTTTCAATGATAGAACGTCACCCTCTGAATGACAGGCCACCACACAAAACACAGTGTTGAAAATTATTAACATTCTCAAATTATGCTTGCAAAAATGGCGACCGATTGCAAAACATGTTTGGTTTCAACACTAATTCAACGTAGCGTTCAGCAGAACAATCGCAAACCGTTTACCAACGTTTGTATCTGGTGAACGCGGCCATTGATACTCCTGTTTGTTCCCACATTGAACGTCGGCAGCGTGTTGATTCACGAATTTTTCTTATTTACCACTACGACATCCTGTAAAAGGACACAACGAACTTCACACTATGTACGCTAGATAGCGCCACCGATAACATCATGACTTCGAGAAATTTGGGGTTGGACAAGGTCAAATCAACGAAATTTCAGATCAAAGGCGCCGCCGATCTAGAGATTTTCCCACGGTATCGAAAAAACTGTAGACAGGCTTATCTCGAAAAGCTGTATCGGACCTGTCTCTGGACCTGTATAGCTGTCTATGGTCTATTTTTTCCCAAGATAGATTTTGACATTGTCAACTTTGAAACATAAACAATACTTCTTGGCCCTGAATGGTCGCGAAATGATGTGTCCCTGCAGGCTGACATCAGTTTTACAATGCGTGCCGTGCAAATGGAATCTTGCGACCAATAAGCGGCATCGTTTTTGTTTATGTTTCACCGCACTCTCGACAGATGGCGCCATGACGTTTGACAGATGACAAGATGGCGCCGACGCCTTCGTGTCCAGGACGGCGCATCCACCTTCGTGTCAAGAATGCAAGATTGAGGTTATGGTCGGATTTTGATGCTAGAACCCGCTTTGACTATCTACTGCTGCCAGTATTTCACCACTTTAGATTTAGCTAGCGGCTTCCACCAGATCCAGATGCATGAAAACGACATCGAAAAAACCGCATTCAGCACAGAAAACGAGCATTATGAATTCTTACTCATGCCCTTTGGTTTGAAGAACGCGCCTGCTACATTCCAGAGAGTTATGGATGATATTCAATATCCCAATATATTGAGCAACTTTAACACCGAAAGATATAACATCCCAATAGTTATTCATTATGGAAGGGAAAAAAGTATTAAGATTTTAGAGCGAGATGTGGTTTGCCTCCCGTCGTGAAGCAGAGGGAGACAACAACAATGTGACCAAAGAGCGCTGGGAATGCTGGAGGTGGGACAGGGGAAATCGTTATCTTTCGTTCTCTATTCAACCTTAGAGTGTTTCTAGACATTTCATTCTATTGCATAAAAATTGGCCTGTTGTTGACCTGTCAAACCTGTATATAGGTAGTTCATTTTAGGGCCATGCCATTAGGTTACTTATAAGTTTGTTTCATGCCATAAGTTGAGTTTTTTCAATTTGTTTTGAATAAAAGCGACGCATCATAGCGGGGGAGTGTGTTGAATTCAGTCCATTTGCTGAGGAGATCTCATAAGCGCAACTAGGCTCCAAATTTGAGGGGTGCTGCAGCACCTTTTTTTTTATTTTTTTTGATGATGAGACGCGTAAAAAAAAAGTTTGTTTCACAAGGTTTTGTACTTACGTCATCATTTGCCTTTTTTTTTGAAAAATAGGTTTTACATATAGTTCGTTGCACGGCACGAAAGTTTTTACTTACGCCATCGATGACGTCATAACTTAGAGAAAAAGTTAAGTCATAGATTAATTATTTTTATTTATTTATTTATTTAGCAACAGAGTAATGAAAAAATGTTAAAATTTACAATGGAGCACCTTCGGAATTATTGTTTTGTCATACATTTTTTAACTTAGAATAGAGTTTATTCAGTTATCCGAAAATATATAAATAAATTTCTCCTGGAGTGATTTTTCACTGGAAAATTTTCCTCTAATGAGCTCCTCACATTCCTCTTTCTCCTGTAAAAATTTCAAAATTTTCCCGTTGCCAGTTTTCCAAAAAAAAAATTTAAGAGGTAAATTTTCCTTAATTTTGCCTAAATAAGTCAATTTTCCAAAATTTTTCCTGGAGTAATTTTTCACTGGTAAATTTCGAAATTTCGCTATAATGAGCTCCTCACTTTTCTCTTTTTCCTGGAAAATTTTCAAAATTTTCCCTTTGCCAATTTTTTAGAAAAAAAATAAAATGTAAGAGGGTAAATTTTCCTTAACTAAGTCAATTTTCCAAAATTTTTCCTGGAGTAATTTTTCACTGGAAAATTTTGAAATTTTGCTATAATGAACTCCTCGCTTTCTTTTTTTTTTCTGGAAAATTTTCACAATTTTCCTTTTGCCAGTTATCCGAAAAAAATTAAAATGTCAGAGGGTGAATTTTCCTTAATTTTACCTAAATAAAGCAATTTTCCAGAACTTTTTCTGGAGTGATTTTTCACTAGAAAATTTTGAAATTATGTTATTATGAGCTCCCCATTTTCTTCTTTCTCCTGGAAAAATTTCACAATCTTTTCTTTCCAGTTTTCTAAAAAAAAAATTGAAATTGAAAAGATGAATTTTTCTTAATTTTACTTCAAAAAGTAAATTCTCCAGAATTTTCCCTGGAGTGATTTCTCACTGGAAAATTTCGAAATTTCCCTATAATGAGCTCCTTACTTTCCTCTTTTTCCTGGAAAATTTTCAAAATTTTCCCTCTGTCAGTTTTCCAGAAAAAAAATAAAATGTAAGAGGGTGAATTTTGCTTAAATAAGTCAGTTTACCAAAATTTTTCCTGGAGTGATTTTTCCAGTAGAAAATTTTGAAATTTTTATGTATTAAGCTACTCACTTTTTTCTGGAAATTTTTCAAAATTTTCTCTTTGCCAGTTTTCCAAAAAAAAAAATTGAATGCGAGAGAATCAATCTTCCTTAATTTTACTTAAAAAAATCAATTATCCAGAACTTAGAACTTTTCCTGGAATGATTTTTCAGTGAAGAATTTTGAAATTTTCCTATAATGAGCTCCTCATTTTCCTCTTTTTCCTGAAAAATTTTCAAAATTTTCCCTTTGCCAATTTTCCAAAAGAAAATTAATATGTGGAAGGGTGAATTTTCCTTAATTTTGCTTAGATAATTCAATTTTCCTGAATTTTTCCTGAAGTGATTTTTCACTGAAGAATTTTGAAATTTTCCTATAATGAGCTCCCCACTTTTATCTTTTTCCTGGGAAATTTTGAAAATTTTCCCTTTGCTAGTTTTCCAGAAAAAAATTAAAATGTAAGATAATGAATTTTCCTCAATTTTGCTTAAATAAGTCAGTTTTCCAGAATTTCTCCTGGAGTGATTTTTCACTGGAAAATTTTAAAATTTTCATATAATGAACACATCACTTTCTTCTTTTTCCTAGAAAATTTTCGAAATTTTTCCTTTGCCACTTTTTGCCAGAAAAAAATTAAAATATAAAAGGATAAATTTTCCTTAATTTTACTTCAAAAAGTCAATGGTCGGGTCCATCAGGACGTAGCGCTACAACAGCAATCATCAGCAGTGTTGCCAAATTATTAAAGTTGTGGCAAATTTTATCCCTGTTCTTCTCACCAAAAGGAAAAAAAGATGGAAAATGGTCGGAGCGCTCAGTGTTTCAAGCGGAACTCATTAATTTTAATAATTTTTGGTTAAATAAGTGATAATAATAGATTTATTGGAAATGTAATGATGTAAATAATTAACCTTTAATAAATGTAATAGATTTGCTACATTTGTAATAAACTGGCAACACTGTTGATGATCGCTACTGTAGCGCTATGTTCTGATGAACCCGACCAATTTTCCAGAATTTTTTAATGGGAAATTTTGAAATTTTCCCCTAATGTGCTCCTCACTTTCCTTTTTCTTTTGGAAAAATTTCACAATTTTTGCTTTGCCAATTTTCCAGAAAAAAATTGGAACATGAAAGGATGAATTTTGCTTAAAAAAGTCAATTTTCCAGAATTTTCCTTGGAGTGATTTTTCACTAGAAAATTTTGAAATTTTCCTATAATGAGCTTCTCATTTTCTTCTTACTTCTGGAAAAATTTCACAAGTTTTGCTTTATTAGTTTTCCAGAAATAAATTGAAATGTGAGAGGATAAGTTTTTCTTAATTTGATTTGAATAAGTCATTTTTTCAGAGTTTTTCTTGGAGCGATTTCCCATTGGAAAACTTTGAAATTTTCTTATAATGAGCTCCTGATTTTCCTCTTTTACCAGTTTTCCAGAAAAAATTGAAATGTGAGCAGTTTTCCCTGGCGTGAATTCTCACTGGAAAATTTTGAAATTTCCCTGTAATGAGCTTCTCACTTTCCTCTTTTTCCTGGAAAATTTTCAAAATTTTCTCTCTGCCAGTTTTCCAGAAAAAAATTGAAATGTAAGAGGGTGAATTTTCCTTAATTTTGCTTAAATAAGTCAATTTTCCAGAATTTTTTATGGAGTGATTTTCCACTAGAAAATTTTGAAATTTTCCTATAATGAGCTCCTCACTTTTCTTTTTCTCCTGGAAAAATTTCACAATTTTCTTTTTGCCAGATTTCTAGAAAAAAATTAAAATGTAAGAGGGTGAATTTTTTTAAATTTTGCTTAAATAAGTCAATTTTCTAGAACATATTTGAGATTTTAGTCATGAAAAAAAAAACAAAGAATCACCCTTTGCCGTTTGTACAGGATATTTAGGAACGCCCTGTATAATACGCAGTTAATTAATTTATATGTATATTTGGGACTCCAATTATTTTTTAGGGGCCGGTATTTCAATATCACCTTAAGATATAGAATTAACATAGACATTGACAACATTGTCTGACCTTGTTCGATGACGTCATCCTAGATATAACTATGAAAACCCTATATTTTAGGGTAAGTCTTGATTTTAAGGTAATATTGTAATACCGGCCCCGGTTGAAAATTTTTATTCCATAACAATAATAATTGCGAACGTGTTCTATGAATTAATCAACGACAAATACTTTTTTCTAAATTATGACGTCATCGATGACGTAAGTAAGTATAAAAAGTGCAAAAAAAAAATAATAATTTGGTTGCACTAATTTTTTATATTAGTGTTAGGTAGTGCTATGGTTGGATGCCGATTGCCGAATGGGAGTGCTAATTTTTGCTTTACGGGTGCTTAGCACCCCCAAGCACCCCCCTAGTTGCGCCTATGGGAGATCTGTACATCAAAATTGTCCGCTACCGTTTGAATCAGACAACCAGGCTTCAAGCTATTTGCTCCCCGTATAGTTCGAAGTTTGCTGATTGCATGTTACGGCAAACTGTAGTTGCTATCGAAGATTTGTACCTCATTACTTCGTCATAGCTACAACAAATTCCAAATAAGCCATACAGAAAATCAATAAGTTGTCTTGATGAATAAGCGTGATGAAGTGTTACACCAAGAGACACTTGTAGGCATATACGTTTTTTCAATAAGTCGTTGGATTATTTCCTTTCCGTTTGCATCATGTACCAATATACTGGCATTTTCTACCTAGTTTATCATGGAAAATGTATATACAGACCGGACAAACTTACTAGACACATAGGGAGTAATAAGTCGAATTGGCTTGTAGCCGGTTAAGGCAAAGGCCTTTAAATTTTATTAATAATTCAAAATGGAAAATAATCGAATACATACATTATAATATAAGTAACGTTCTACTATAAATTCTCATCAAAATTTGTTGAAATAGCCGCATTTCCCCTTACCCATCATTAGAAATTTTAAAAAAACCGTAAAAAGCCCCAAAAATTTCGCGGCTGCAGCGCTTTTCTTCCTGCAGCTACTACTGCTGCAAGCATCACTTACTGCTAATTTGCCTCTTCCCCCACCTCCCCCTCAAGACAAAATCCTGACTACGCCAATGATGCTGTCGAAGCCGAGTATAGCCGAGCTGCCGAAGATGCACGAATTTCAATAATATGAAGGAACCTGCAGGGATGATCAATGATCCAGCGTGGCGATCCTGCAGTGAAATGGGTATCTGTCAACTGGTCCCATTTAAGTCTAGGTGTCTAGTAGCCTAGTCCTGTCTGTCTAATTATTTCTACTTATGTTAATTTTTGAAGTCCGAGCAGTAATTTTGAAATTCCGGCGCCTATGGGTTTCCTCCTGGTCAACTGAGCTACTACTGCCATCAGAGCGATTAGAAGAAGGACTACTTTTTTGACGTGTTCTGGTTAAACTGCGGTTGATCTCACTTTTGCATGTTGTGCATAAGTATGAGGTTTTTTTCACTTTTTATATTTTCCATGTCGCTCTTCTCCAGCCCAGTGCATTTCAGATGCACCACATTCACCACTGCATTTTACTTTATACCCACTTTTTCCGATATTATGGCTAAAAACTTTGCAACACAAAGGCGTCATATCCGCTCGTCTCCGTACAAACTCCAAACTTGTAGTGTAGTGCAACCACCGGTTGTTATTGTTATTGAACGGCACAATAGGAACGAATTCCTGACGGTATAATGTACCATGTATCTATCTCGTTGTTGTTAGTGCGATATGGCCCTTTTGGGTATCTTAGAGACGTCGACCCAAGTGTCTAAAACGTGCAGACTTGCGGAAATGTAAAAATGTTCTAGGGGTAAACATGGTCATTATCAAAAGAACTATAGAAAAACATATAAACACAAAGCACATCATCGACTCTAAAATTTGAAAAAATAATTATAAATGTTCTTTTTTTTTATCTGACATCGTTGTTTGTTGTGTGTCTACCTTATTCTTCTTTCTGTCGGTATGATTCTCTATATCTTCTTCCCTTCCGAACAATAACGACTACTTACAGTTGGATTTTTGCTACTTATGTGGTTTGATTATGTTATTTTGAATAAAAATATTACGGATTTTGATCGAAATATTATCTACTTTTGTGTCCTAAAATCAAAAATAACTCATCAGGATAGGGTGTAAACCAAAGAATCTCTCTCACAAAGACAAGACCAATATAATTTTCTAAACTTAAGTATAAATCTTCTACAAAGCTTTTAAGTTAAGGCGTATACGTAAGTGGTTTCTTGTCAAAACTTGATGCAAATAGTTTTATAATGGCAAAATGTAGAGTGCCACGATATTCTGTCGTGTCTTAACTCGACACAGGTGCTTCTACTTTAATGTATATTATCTTGTTAAATTTATCTAAAACAGTTTAATGGAATTTATTGCCCAAAATCCGTTTTATTTTATGATAATGGTACTGAAAAACTTTATTTTTGTGGTCAAGGGTTTGTAAGCATGGAAATATTGTACGTACCATCTTTAAGTGAAAATTAATTACAGACTAATAGCAAAAACCTTTGACCGCAAACAAAATCCAGTATTCCTCAGTCAGTGTTACTTTTCTTGCAATTTCTTCATACATCAACCATCTACCCTGTTATTTTTCTGTTGTAGATCAGCGCCAGCTTCGGGGCACCGTGTCCACTGCCGCCGCCCAATCCCTCTCACCTGTCCAAGAAGTACCATCTGTCAGTGAAACGTCGTTTGAGCGATGCGTGCGGGGTGGTAGCGCCAAACGTACGAAGACCAAGCATAAGAACTGATTTGATGATAATGAGAACTAAAACCTACAATTGTGGCGAAGGGGGTAGTGCGCACAGTTCGCCCCTAAATTGGCGGAGAAACAATAGCGGCAATAATGGTTCGTGTGTGTTGCAGTGAATTCTCGTTAAATTTAATTGTTAAATGTTTTGGATGTTGTTAGCTTTAAATGCGTTGGTGTAAACGTACCTTCGTACCTACCAGCACATTTTTATTGAAGTGTCTAAATCATACTCATACGTACGTTTACACTGTTAATTTAAAACGAAAGCTGACTTTTGTCTTTAGATGTTAAGAAAGCCTATTTATATAATATTATATGAATGTTATTATCGCGACCAATCAAATTTTAAATAATAATAATTATTTTCTTCATTATTTCATGGCTTTAATATGAGTTTTAAAAAATATGTACATATCCTCTAAAAATAAAATTGATTTTTTATAGAGATGGGTTTTTTATATAAAATTTTTACAAAATGGGGCAATAATAATTTAATATGTATTTATTAATTAATTTTTTGATATTTTTATTGTTATAAAAATAATGTTTTAGATGATAAGCTGCCGAGAATTTAATTCAAAATCAATTATTGTTGACCATCTTTTAAGTAGAATATAGAAATTGTTTCGACAGAAAAATGTGACGATTGTAACCTTTTTTCAAATCCAACTCTATAACCCAACCATATATCATATCTATAATAAACCCCTTAAAAAATGGATTATCTACCGCACAAAGGTTTACGTCACATACCTATTCCATATTTACTGTACTTCACTATTCATAGAAACAATACAATTTAAATGTAAATGTGAATCGTGATTGGAATCAAACAGAAAAAAAATCTACTGATTGCACAATAAAAAATATATTTGTATCCCGAAAAAGGAAACAGAAAAAATAAAAGTTGATGTTGATAACAAGATGTTTTTATTTATTTGTTGAATAGTCTGTGAAAAGTAGGTGTAAGTAAAACACTACACTGGAGTGTAAATGGAGTAGAAAATATCGAATTCAAAAATTCTTTATTGTTGTCGAATGTCGAATATATTTTTTCATTTTTTGGACGAAGTTGCATAAATGACAAGAATATTTTATTGTCCAGAGTTTTTTTCTCAATAAGTTTAAGATCCAGAAAAATTGGTAGCAAAAACAAATCTCTTGCAATCATTCAACAGCTCAAGTAAGCCTAAAGTCCCTGACAAACTTCCAAACCGACTGTAGATGTGTCAATCAAAACTTTGAACCAAAATAAAGTTATGACTCTCAGAGTCCCAAAATTGCCTTGACCTGTAAGATCTTGAATACAGAGTCGGTATACTAGAAAATCAATTCTGAAAAAAATTTAAGTTATGTGATCTAAAATGCAAGAATTTAATGACATCATAGGTTTATAAAAGATCACCTTGTAGTCTTCTATATTACAATGGTAACAGGTTTTAATAGTCTTTCCTTGTATTTTCAAAAGGGGTTTCATGTTGGTTGTGTTCATAAAACACTTGTGTTGACATATCAAAACGTGCTCTCGTACATATCACAAAGTTGTTTTTTTTTTACTATTTCAACTGCATGAGAGATAGAGTTTTTGAGATCATAAATATCTGTTAGATGATCAATTAATGTTAATTCTTAGTCACTACTAGTCTTATCAGGATTTTTGTTAGTTCGTTTCGAAGTTTGGTCTTCAGATTATATGGTTGATTCGAGAAGTAAGTATTTCACTGAAGTTCTTTTTTGTACATATATTGTACAATAATACTCAGGTATTGCAGAGTATTGTGAGAGTATTGTGGAATATTGCAACCTATTGCCCAATGTTTCTAGATACTGCAAACCATTGTGATTATTGTGAACTATTGTAAGTTATTGCAGTACATAGGTATTCCCTATTTCTTCAAACTTTTATATTTTTCTTTCATATTATTTAAATCTTTATGATCTAAATCAAATGGATGAGATCATCAATTCATCTTTTTCAGGCCATCTTAAATGGCATACGTTCAATTTTAGAAACTTCACTTTGCTTTCCTTGTTGTTTGTATGCAATACTTTTGCGATGTACCACGCAGTATCATAACATAATATACTGCTGCACTGCATAGTAATATTTAGGTCGAATATATAGTCTTTCTCCTTCATCATTCCTTACTCCTACAATTATGAAATTTCCATTTTTGAATTTATTTTAATTTGTGTGAATATCAGAGTTGTCTGTTTTTTCAGCAAAAAAACAACATTTCTTACTGTCTTTGACTTTCTGTTTTTCAAATGTATTTTTAAAAACCTTCCATTGTTCATATCTGTTACCTACGCATTGTAATCTTTAACATTAAAAGCTACCCATTCATATAATTTTTAAGAGAGTTGAGCTCCTCTGGTTCTTTGTCTGCCATCACAACGTCATTATCAGATTTCTCCTGAATAGCCTCAGATGAGTACCGTCAGTCGAATTGAGTTCATCTTTGTTGAAATTGGCGTCAAGTTCAGAGTTAATTATTGTTTATGGGATAGTATGTCCGTCAAAACAGTTAACTGTATAATCTTGGATATTGTCTATTTCTAACATCTGAAGAAGTGCGATGTAAATTCGAGAGCAAAAAGAGGGACCGTAGGAAAGAACGATAGAACAGGGTCCTCATTCTTGAAACAGGAAAGCAACGTTGTCAGGAGAACGAGTGTTCCGTCTTTCTCAATGATATGCAAATGATAATAAAAGTAACAAAGACGGAACACTTATTCTCCTGGAAATGCTGCAACCCTGTTTCAAGAATAAAGGCCCAAAGAAAAAGACGCTCCCGCCCTCATATTTAACAGTTGTTCTATTTTCCTACACTCGTAAGTTAAAGTTATAATGAAAGTGCAACAAAAATTATAAACGAGCTGATGTATAGTTTTTGGTATAGAGTATTGTGGAACAACATACCCCTCGAGTTGATCACGGTGGATTTTTGTTTTTTTGTTTGGTTGTTGAAAAAAGACAACAGATTCCATTGATTGGATAGATCAGATCGAGGAGTTAACCGTTAGCCAAATTTGTAAACTGAATACATATGGAATACAAAAGGAATTCATGAGAATACATATGAATACATAGAAGTACATATGAATACATATGACTATACAACAAAATCTTCGGAGTCTGTCTGTACTTTACTTTACCCAAGAACCCATTTCAGAAGCCAACAAAATAAGGACTTTTTAATTATAGGATATTTTTCCTTTAGCTTTACCCTAACATAATATAAGGAGTAGGTAAGTTTGTTGGAGAAATCTTTCAAATCTAATGAACTAAGAAGTAATGAGTCTATTTCCTTTTCAGAGTTAAACCCAACCCGGAGGTGACTCGCTATTGAGAAACCGACCCTTTAGCCAAATCCAGACTATGTAACAAAACATGTTGAATAACAAAGGTTTATAACTTGTTAGAGAATTTTGAATAACAAAAGTTATACAATACAGTGTTGTACAAGATTTTGTTGGTTGTATAGCATGTTTTATGTTATCCATCAGATGTCGGTAAAGATATCAGAGGAAGTTATAAAACATTATAACAAGTTACACAACAAATTTGTTGCATATACTTTGTGAGATTCCGACAGTTTGCAACCTGTCAGAAGAAGCAATCGCTCGCAAAACAATAGGTCTGTTTCTGCAGAAATCACAAACCAGTCAGAGTGAATTTCATTGGTTGAAACTAGTTTTCTGACTGTTTCTGACTGTTTTCAACCAATGAAATTCGCTCTGACTGGTTTGCGATTTTCGCAGAAACAGACCTTATAGAAGAATCGGCCATTTTGACTGGTGCTCGACACTCAAAATTTGTAACAATGGGTACATTCAGGCGGTGTCAGCGGCTAAGTTCACAGTTCAGCCACTCAGCACAGGGACTTTATTCTCGAAACAGGGAAGCAGCGTTCTTATGAGAACGAAGTTTCTATCTTTGTCGTTTTCCATAACACTGACAATGACAGAGCAATCGTTCTTATGAGAACGCCTATTCCTAGGTTTCGAGAATAAGTCCCTGCTAAGTGGCTGAGCTTAGCAGCTGGCACCGCCTGAATGTACCCAATGTTATTTATAAATATGTCATTTTTGAAATTCCCGCTAAAAATATAGTTGCTCGTAGGTACACGTAATTTGATTGTGTGAGTGTTTGAAACCGTTTCAGCACTAACTTAACCCGCTAGGGAGGATGGGACCAACCCTTACCATTCCAAATTGAACAGGGGGTCGAGTGATACCTGTTTTGAAAGAGCGTTCAATTTTCTTTCAAATGGCATCAAATGAAAGAGATGAACGCTTTTTTAAAAGAGGTATTACTCGACCCCTTGTTCCATTTGAAACAGTAAGGGTTGGTCCAACTCCGCCGAGAGGGTTAAAGTTGAAGTGCTAGAAGTGGTTGCAGAAAACTTCCCTCTTTGAAAATCAAATTACGTGTACGAACGATTTTTAAAAAAAAAAATGTGACATCAGATATTTAAGTTGTTTCGTTTTAAATGGTAGACCCTGTATGAGTAAAGTTTTTCGATTTTAGGGCGGGTATTATAAAACTATTTCGACAAAATAACAAAAAGCTAACTTCTGGAATGACATAGTAATTCCAGAAGTTAGCTTTTAGTTATCTGGCAAAATAGTTTTACAATAACCGCCCTTAATCTGATACTCCATAGGAATGTGAACTGGTGGCACCCTACATTAGAACGCCAATGGTCACCTGACGTCACACCTGTTTTTGCCGTATGCTTCACCCCCTCGCTCCTCATACGGAAAGTGTCAGATTATAAACGACAGACAGACAATAGGACTTTTCGGAAACACTGATCCCATTAGCCGGATCACCAGCTGTAGTTTTTTGTACTTTTCTCAATCGTATTCATCAAAAAGAGATAAAACACAAACAGTTGATGATCGGGTTAATCGGATTAGCGTTTCCGAAAAGGCCATACCTGGTTTAAGCTTATTTCCAAATAAAATCCCAATAATTGTTTCGACGTGTGATAAATAGATGGCGCGCGATTCCAAAAGATTGTACAGTGGCTAAATAAACCTTTACATACTGTAGCGACTATAGAGGTCCCGCCGCCATCTTGTTCCCAACCTCTAGTTACTTTTAAATATTAATATATTGGATTTAAATGGACATCTATCATAAAAAATTGAAGTCGACGTATTTGATGACCATTATTAAGTCCATCAAGTACGTTGTTCTCCATGATTTATGATGGATGTTCACCTAAATCCCGTACATTCATATTCAAAAGTAACAAGAGGTTGGGAACAAGATGGCGGCGTTTTCAATATAAATATATGGGATTTTAGAATCAATAAAAAATAAGACAGCAATTGTCGCCACTGTGGTAATAGAGTCACTATATGTAAATAATTATTGTGTATTCTATTACAGAGATCTTTTACAACACATTTAGGTAAATATGTATAGTTGTATTCCTTTCAAGAGTTTAGAACACTAGTGCTACTCGCCCCGGTGTTAGTCGAATAGTCGACCCCGATTTGAAAGGAACAGATGCGCTGGCTTTCGTGCATTTAAACGGTTTGACTAGGACTTGAGTACAGTGGCTAAATAAACCTTTACATACAGTGCCGACAATAGAAGTCCCGCCGCCATTTTGTGCCCAACTTTTAAATATGAATATAGGATTTAAATGGACATCCATCATGGAAAATTGAAAATAACGTATTTCATATGTGCCTAAGTATAGTAATCGGATAGGTACGCTGTTTTTGTACGCTGTGTCTAGCCTCCCGGCACCGGTATTCATACGAATCCCGGTTACGACGCGTTTTCAATGATGTCATCAACGACCGCCGGGATTTATCGTGGATACCGGCTATTGGATTCAAAATTCAAAGAAGTGTTTCGATCTCTTGCTGCTTGAGGCTTTAAATAATTCCGGAATAGCTTTTGTGTATTATTGTTTCTTGTTGTGATATTGATATTAGATTAGAGTGGTAATAGTACTTCGTTAATCCACTTTTCGTAGTAGTGGTTTAAAAAGGGAATAGTATGGTTTATTTTCATTCATTATTCGGGACTCTGGGACTATAGCTTTTTCAACACCGTATCTCTGAAATAGGGTACTTTCGGACCCATGTTTATAAGAACTTTTGCTCTTAATTTTAGATGTAGAATCCGCAGTTAAAATATTAACTTCTAATTTTGGGGCACCCTGTGTGATGTTGCTGAACAATAACGGCGTTGCTGAACAGACTTCCAAAATGCTGTACAATTCAGCGAAATCACAGAATTACCCGTGGCGATATGCTGTGTGTATGATCTTTTATGGTTTCTGTACAACGTTAAAAAAACTACCAAAATTTTCTAAAAATTGGATTTGTTTGGAATGTAAGCTGTGCATGATTGCATATGAACAATTGATGCGAAAAAGTTGTAGTGATTACATCAGAATTTATACTTATGTTCGAATTATACCTATGTATTCTATGTATATAAATATAATAAAAGTCATAATTTTATTTCCCATAAATAAAAGCCTATCGCGCCTGACTTCGGTTACTTTTTTTACCCTACATAATAATTTTGCCCCAATACCAATGAACATAATAATCATTAACATCTTGTATTGCAATAGCCGGTATCCACGACAGTTACAGGTGGTTGTTGATGACGTCATTGAAAACGCGTCATAACCGGGATTCATATGAATACCGGTGCCGGGAGGCTAGACACAGCCCTAATAACACAGTAACATCGCAGAAACGTTCCAGAAACATCCATCAGGGATAATAAAGACATCCCTGGGAGATCCCTATTTTCCTGGGGACATCCCTGGGATGTTGCTGGCAACAGCCATGTCATCATTTGCGATGTCCTGGAAACATCCCTCAGGGATGTTTCTAAGATGACTTGGGATGTACTTAATACATCCAGGGCAGGTATATGAAACATCCCCAATAAGTTTCTTGTATGACTTTGGGGATGTTTCTAAGATGACTTGGGATGTACTTAATACATCCGGGGCAGGTATATGAAACATCCCCAATAAGTTTTTTGTATGACTTTGATAGGAAAATGAATTTTAGGATTATGGATTAAAAATTACCTAATTCGATAATTTTCAATTTTTGTTATACTTTTTTTGAAAGTCAGATGGGATTTTTTTTTTCAAAAAAATAACAAAAATTAAAAATTATAAAATTAAGTAGATACATCAGTTCCGAATAATGTTTTATTGAAGACATATAACTTACAATAATTGTAATACAGAAATAAGTATTCACCTCAACTAATAAACTTTATACTCTTAAAGGCGGGTATTATAAAACTACTTTGAAAGTTAACTTAAAGTTAACTTCTGAAAACACATGTAATTCAAAAAATTAACTGCAAGTTAACTGTCAAAGCAGTTTTATAATACCCGCCCTAAGTCTAACTTCTCGCGTAAAATGTTGCTGATGGACAATTTCTTGCTCAAACAATGTAGTATTATATCATGCCCCGTGATCGAAAACCATAGTTTAGCAGCAGGAAGTGGAGAAGTTTGGCGTTTTCATAAATAAAAAATTCACAAAATTTGAACTACTTGCCAATGGTAAATTTTTGCGGTTTATTATCCAAAAATGTGCCATTAATACAAGGCTAGACCTTGCAAAAGGGCTTTAAACCCGTGAAAATCTTCTAGCATTATTACAGCCTTGTTAATGGCACATTTTTGAATGACACATGATATGCTACAAAAATTGACCATCGGTACTAATTAATTATGCCTACAACAAACTTCCCCACCACATGCTGCCAGACTATGGTTTTTGGTCACTGGGTGTAATACTACATCGCTTAAGCAAGAAAGTGTCAATCAGCAACTTTTTACAGCAAAAAAAATCACTGGCTCTTTAGACTATCATGTATTATGACTAAACAACAGAAAAATAAAAATCAAAAACTTAACTTCTAAATCTGCTTATGAAGAAGAAACTAAAATTTGAAACTATAAAAAAGGTTCCGAGTTCTTTTTTAATTTTTCTTAGTCTCTGCTCTGACCCTTCGCTCTTTTGCCCTCCTCAACCAGTCACCGATCCTCAGTTCTATTTCTTTTTGATTGTTGGAAATACCTGATTTTTGGGCAGCATCTGCAATTATTATTTTGCTTTTAATTGTTACATATGTGTCCTGATGCCCGCAACATAAGCAAAGAGTTATTGTCCGTCGATTTTTATCCGATACTCGGACGGAATGTGAGCTGGTGGCTCCCTACATTAGAACGCCAATGGTTACCTGACATCACACCTGTTTTTGCCATATGAAACACCCCTTCGCTCCTCATACCGCAAGTATCAGTTAAAAATCGACGAACAATACTTGGGAAAGATAATGAAAATAACTGCTAATTTTGAAAGTAAAAGATTAAATTATGGAAATGTAGCAATACCCAGAGAAATCACGGCGTATTTTAAATTTGTACTCAGAAGTGATATTAAAAAAAAGCTAATTGAATTCATACAAAATAGTTATTTATGCAACAAGTGTGTAAAGTGAACCTTTTTTAACAAATGTGAATTTAAGGCGAGTGCGACAATCACATGAGTGAAAAAAGGTGCTTTACGCACGTATTGCATACAACATTTTTTCTACTACCAATCAAATATGTGTAAAAAAATTGATTTAGACAAATACTTTACGCACTAGTGCGTAAGTATTTTCACTTTACGCACTAGGGGGTGAAGTAATTTACCAGAAAAATACTAAATTGACAGCGTCGACCTTTGTCATTGACATTACTTTACGCACTAGTGTGTGAAGTGAATTACTTTACGCACTAGTGCGTGAAGTGTAATTTTACGTCTTCTAAATAGTGCGTAAAGTAAGCACTTTACGCACGGTAGTAGAAAAATATTATTGCTAATAGTTTCAACAGGTATTTTCATGATATCGGGTCTTCAAAAAAAAAACAATTAGAGATTGTTTTGATTACGAAAACGTATGTCTAATTATTATTTGTTTATTGGTCCCGATTTTTGACATGACTTTTTGACATTGAAGTTCATTGACAAAATTGAAGAAAAATATTGCTAAGAAATTATAATACGTTTAAAAATCCATAGTAATCTTTGATTATTATTGTTTTTTTTTGAAGACCCGATACCATTCCCTATGTTGCGCTTGCTTAGACACTTACTACATAAAATATGTTGCGATTTTTCATCCTTATAATTTGGAAAAACATATTTAAATTAAACTTTTCACAAATATAAGAACGATTAACAAAAAAATTTCTATATTTACCAATTATTGCTTTTGCCAAACTGCTGGAGCCAAAAACACTTTTTCCTTTTTTCCCAAGGAAAGAGAACTGTTCTGCTAGGGTATCACTCACCAATGGAGCAATACAACGTCTCACGAACTCGTAAAGATTTGAACCACCCATTTTTGTAAACAGTTGCACCTACAAACCAAAAAATAGATTATTAAAAGCTTCATCAAAAGATCTAAATATAATGATAATATGTAGCTAAATTAATGAATACGGGATGTTTACCAATGCTGAATAGTTTTCCGATACAGAAAAAAATTTGTTGAATTGCACAAAAGTCTCTTTTGTTTCAATTGGAAAATCCAAATTGGACTTTTCCAAGATATTTTTTATTTCTTGATCATCATGGGTGGTACACTTATGATTGGTCACTTTTTCATTAATTTCTACTAAAAGTGCCTGTATGTTATACAGGATTTTTGAGTTGCAACATCCTGGCCGGTTTTCTGACTCTGTTAGCTTATTACCTAAAATACAATAATTGAACACAAAACATCTAGTTTTGAAATCAGTTTACCAGTTGAGTTTTCTCTTATTTGTTGAAGTTGACCGCTCTTTTTTGCTGAAATCAGTTCATTAGCCAAGTTTTCCTCAATTTGTTGAAGTGGACCGCTCTTTTTTGCTACAGGTGTAGCAGAGCTGCGGCTTTGAATTTTACGATTTTCTACATATTCTATATCATCTGAAACAGCACAGGAATAATAAGACACTTTATAAAATAATTGATTAGGTACTTTTTGTTGAACTTGGTACATATTTTACCTTTTGAATTATTATTTTCATTTTCAGAATTCATCATCATGTCCTTGTGTGTGGTTTTATCTTCCCAAGTTGGGGGGGCAGGAATTTTTTTAAATTTTATAGGTAACTCATCAGAATCTGATCTATCAGAATCTGATGAAGAAAAAACTTTTTTTTTTCTCAACCTCTTTGAAGGTGTCACAGTGGCGTCACAGTCCTCAGTGTTGAGGTCACTTGTTGTTTCAGCCTTGGCTGCCTTTTTTCGAGCAAGTGCGTAATTATCTAAAAATAGCATAGTAAAGGATAGTGCAAAAATGACGCTATTATACAGGGTGTCCCACAATCAGCGTTACAGGCCATAACTTTCTTATTTTTAGATTTTTTCAAATGGCACCCTTAATTTTTTTTTTTATTTTTAAGAAGTTCATGAAATTGCAAATTCAATAATGTATGAAAAGTTTGTTTCTTCATGTTTCCTTGGGAAAAAAATTCAAAAATGAAAATAATAATAATGGGGTTCTATTTGAAAAAAAAGGCAAGAGTTGTTTTTAGGGGATGAGTTTGTTAGGGAAGATTTTTTTAATATTCTTGAAAAGGGGTTAATTTGCACACAATTAATTTTTTTTTGTCATATTTTTATTTTTGTAGACAAAAATGTGATTGCCTGTTGCCTGTACATATAAGACTAAGGGTGGGACACCCATTTTTTTTCCCCCAAGAGACATGGAAAAACAAACTTTTTATACACCATACAAATTTGTAATTTCATAAGCTTCTCAAAAATTTAAAAAAATAATAGGGGTGCCATTTGAAAAAAAAAGTCAAGGGTTGTAAATAGGGGATGATTTTTTCAGGGGATGATTTTTTTATATTTTTGAAGAGAGCTTAATTAGCCGTTAATAATTTTTTTGTTTCAAATTTTTATTTTTGAAAATAAGAAAGTTATGGCCTGTAACGCTGATTGTGAGACACCCTGTATATTTGTTGTACAATGCATGCATTTTGCAGCTCAAGACGAGAAGTCAAGAGCTGCAGTAAATTACTTTCAATACGGTGGATTAAAAGTAAATTAAAATGGGGTTGAATGCTGTGTGCACATTAAGCAATTAAGCAAAAGAAGGTTTGTATATCGTGCAAAAATCTTTATTTAGAAATATCAGTGCATAGCGCTTTCGGCCTTTCTGATGCGATTTTGTTTTTTCTGATAGCATTAAAAGAAAATATAGAAAAAAACTGTCAAGTTTTGTATTTAATTTTTTTTTTCTATTTTAAATAGTAAAAGCTGTAAGTATGGGTCCAAGTATAATCAAATACCCAGTATATGAGAATAGAAACCATTTTTTTTTGGATTAATCCTTGGACAGATTCAGGAAAGCTATTGGTGGCTTTGGTTTATGTGATTTTTGTAGAAAACTAGTGTATTATGTATATGTATGATTATGACAAACAAAAAATGGATAGATAAAGCTTTACCATATGTTGCATTCCTAAAGGACCGCACTTTATGTAAGGGCCAACAGGAATTAAATTCACATCTTTTAATAAGGGCATGCAGTTTTTCCCTAGTTACTGCAGGCCACAAACATTCGTCACCATTTATCCACCGGGTAGGGACTGCTTCCACACTGTCATCTGCTGTAAAGCACACAACAGTCCATGTTTTATTTGGTGATGCCATTATGGCCTGAAAAAAAAAAAAAAAAAAACACCGAAAAGTGATGCAAAAAAAGGTTACATTGTGTGTGAAAATTTGGCCACTTAATAGGAAAATCAATTATCTATAGCGGGATATGGACAAAATAAATGGCATGTACAGGGTCTTCGATTATATTTGAGCCCCTACCTACAGCCTTTACTTATACCATAACCTGGGACCCGGATCACGAACCCTCGACTCGATAGTATCGTCCATATGAATTACATGGACGATACTATCGAATTGTGGGTTCGTGATCCGGGGGACAGCCAGTTCAGAAAGGGCAGTCTATCATAAGCGGTTAATTCAAATTGCCTTCAATTATTTGCACAGTTGCATAAAGAATGCGGGTAGTCTGCAAATTTTCAAAAATAGATTGAAGTGTTGCTTGCTGGGTGAATGATATAGTTGACTTTTTTGTTTCTATTTTAGTTTTGAGTTTTGTAATTATTGTCTGTTGGTGATACTGTATACCTATATTGTTTAATTTTATTTTCTTTTTTTCTTTTTTTTAGGTTTGTAAGAATTTATACCTAATTGTATTTTGTTTTATGTATTAGCCAGGTGCTAAATAAAGGATTATTATATTATTTTTTGCATTTATAATACTACAATACGTCAGAAAATGATCAGATATTCCCACATCCCTGACTCCCACTTCAAAATTAGTTTCCTCATTTGGTATTAAAATTATATCTAAGAGGGAGGCTGATGTCTTTGTAACCCTAGTAGGTTCCTCAATGACCTGTTTCAAATTCAGAGACTGCACATAGTCACAAAAATCAGAAACATTTTGGTCACCTAAGTTCAAAAGGTTCAAATTTATATCACCTCCGCAGACTATTTCACTGTATTGTGAATTTTGTATAGATAAATAAATAAAGAAAAAGAAAATAGAAATAATGTTTTGAGGCGTCACAAACAGAATAGTTTCAATTAAATTGTGTGAATTAAAGGAAATACAACAAATTTGTTTTCGAACCTTAACCTGACACATTTATAAGCAATTTGGCTTATATTCCAAGCTTGAAGCTGATGGTCTTTAGATTCACGTACTAAAAATATGTTTAGTTTGGATGACTCACACGGCGAGGTATAGAAGTTTCTTAAGCATGAAAAAGTCTGTCCAATTATTTTAGTTTGGGTATTATGGCATATAATATTTTTTATGACAACTATAGTTCCATCATCAAGTGCACAACAATTGTCAGCTTCGTCTAAAGATAACAAAAAGGTTTTAAAAATAATTTTTTTGAATTGCTTCATGATTGACGTATTGGCATCTCCAATAAGTGGGCCTCTAGAATGCTCTATTTCAAGTTTGGGAAATATACTATTACTTTTGTTTTCTGTTGAAATTTTGTTTGTCCTCTCAGAAATTCTATTAACAATTTGTTGTAAAGGTTTGTCACCTTTGCGTACAAGGTTTTTGATGAACATCATATGATTCTCAAAAGGGAAAGCACTAAAATTTTCAATGCTTCCAAATGTTTTTACGTCATCAGTCAGATGTAACAAGTTATGAACATTATGGGAAACATTTTCCTTCCCATAAATTAAAGAAAATGCTTCCACAAAATGATTCAATAATTGTTGAGCATATTCTAAATTTTGATATTTGGACAACAAGGTCATTGATACATGAAGGCTTAAAAAGTTTTCATAAATTTCTTCTCGAACATAGTGTTTCAAAACCACAGGACCCGTATAAAATAGAAATAGTCGAAACTCTGTAGCTTTCCATCGTTTGACTTCCAACAATGATCTTGGCTTTCGTAAAAATTCGTTCGGTATCTGCTTATTAAAGGCAATATATTCTTCGGAAATATTTTTGGTTTGTTGGAAAGAAAAACGATACGGTGGTCTTCCAGAAAGCCACAGGTTATTGAGGAGTTTCTTCATGATGCCCAGGCACACTAAGTGCATATAATCAAGCGGAAAACTTTTTACCATATCAAGACCCGGAATATTTTCTAGAATGGTTGTTTCAATATGGTGGTTTTCTTGCTCTTTTGTTCGGAAACCTAAGTCTGTTCTTAAATGGAACCCCTGTAGACCTGGAAAACATGTTCTATTTTTGATATAATCCCCTTCAATATCACATTTTGTACATGATGTATAACCAGTGTGCCCCTTAATGCATTTTAAAAATGATTTTGCTGGAACATCACAAATAAAAGCAACTATTTTGACATTATACTTTATATCATTAAACAAAAATCCAGAATTTATAAGTTCGACAGCTTCTACAACAAAATCTGACATAAAATCATTGCAACTTTTTGGCTTTTCATTGCCTTGGTAAATTCCACAAATTTCAACAAAGTTTTTATTTTTTAAAAGGTTAACCATTAAAGGCCAAACTTGGTTTCCAGAACTTTTGGAAAGTGGCAAGCCATCTATATTTACACAAATTTCTAGAACATTACTGTCAAAAGTATTTTCTTTTAAAAATTCCAATGTCAAATTTTTTAGACATTGTGCCAACCCAAAATGATAATAGAAACCTGGATTTACAATTTTAATTTGGGAACCAGTGTGCCTAGGTGTTTTTAACAGGGTCCTGGGGTCTTTAGGTAGATCTGGAATATTGTGACGTAAAATACCTAGAAGATCGGATAATGCAGAGTGGTTTATATTGTGGTTTACAGCCCAATTTGCTAAAGAGTTTTTCAAACTTTGTGACTCGCCCTCGGACTCGCCTTGTGATGCATCTTCATATTTTTGATCATTTCGATTAAAGAGAAAGGGTTTCAACCTGTTTTCAGCAAGGTTTTCAGCTAAGGAATCATTTTCATCAGAGGTAGAGTCTGAGACTTGGGATATACTGTCTGTGTCTGAATTGTGATTTGAATAATTGCGCTGAGGATCAGATGTTGACATATGTGCTTTAGGAATGAAGCAGTCACTATTTAAGGCATCATAAGAAGGACCTTGCCCAAAAGTTAAAGCCTGCGAAGTTGATGCCTCAGACTCGGCTTCAGAAATAGCTGTTTCCTTTTGCTTGAGGCGTTTAAAACGTTGATTAAATTTGTTGAAAAGCTTTCTTTTTTCTTGGGGCTCCATGATAATAAATATAAAAAAAGAAAATAAAAAAATAAGTACTTAGGTACCAAATCAATAACAAAACCAAAATCTGGAGCAAAATCCTAAAGTCTGTTACCCAAGTTGAAGTTATTCAACGCCTTGCCTCGAGAATTAAGGACAATAAGGGCATCAAGGACAAAAAACGATTAAGGAAATACTTTGTGAAATTAGAACCTTATAGCTTAAAAGATTTTTGTTGTAATTTGTAAAATTGAAGCAGCATTTGTTTTGTGACGCCGCTTCACTTTGTGTCCATGTTCCATGTAAATATAATTTGAAGTATAGCTATTTATTATTAAACCACTATCCAAAGGTCTTCAAGTGGGTGAACTTTAGTTTTACTCAACTTGAACACCTAGAATTAATACAAACTATAAAAACGAAAAATAAATATTGGTAATTTTTTTCTTACCTAATGAATAAGGGTTATAAACCAGACAAGTTGAGTAAGTTTGGTGTAAGTGGGTGTGGGGTAGTTGAAACGAGGTTGAAACAGTTGTTCGAAGTTTCTAAAACACAACAAAGTTTTAACTTATTTCAAATTAATTTCAGTTCCAGCTCCAACAAATAAAATGACAAAAAAGGTTATGTTACTGACGCCCGTGCATGCCGCCCTTTTTTTAATTTTTTTGAGGTTATGTTTTTCTCTTTTGCATAAAAATATCAAATAGGAATAAATTGTCAAAAAAGCAACTCACACTCTAAACAAACAATAAGCAGCAAATATATGGTCATGGTCTGTCGACTATCAACAGGAACACGATTGAAAAAAGAAAAAACTCAACGCGTACCTACCCGGGAACGTGTCCGTGGCGTCAGAGTGGGAAAAACCTGTTGACCAATTGAATGGTCGATTTCTATTGGTTAACTGACGACTGACGCCATAATTGAATTTGAATAACCGGATTAACAATAACCTATTAATAATAATTATGCAACTTTATCTTACAACAATAGTTTTTCTTACCAACTAATAAACACTGCAGAGATCCTTTCGAACAAAAAATGCACTGTAGCGAAAAACAAGCTGTGGAAAAAGCACGAAATCTCGCCACAGCACCAAGCACAGAGGCACAGAGACGTACCGCCAGCGTAGGACCCGACCGACTCTACTCATACTCAACCTCACACTGCCCGATGCCCGACTCCGACCCGCTGGCCGCTGCTCATTGGCTCGTCACCGCTGCCACGCCACACACGAGCCCGTGATCGGCCAACATCGTTGGGGCCGAAGTGTGCATGCTCCTTCCATAATTTTTTTTGCGCGGCATTTTTGAAAATTTAAATTTGAATAGGTACATAATTCTTAGGCTTTTCACCACTGATCAATATTTTATTATTTTATAAGTCAAATTATTATTTTTTTGTTGCTATTATTCTAAATAAATATTATTAAATACCTAAAAATCTATACCTATATAGGTATATATTTATACATACTATGTAAATTTGAAATTAGTTTATTAGTGCGTGTATGAGAGAATCGTTTTTAGGAACCACACAAAATTTACTACCTAGTTTTGTAAAATGATGTTATTAGCAATCTTTTATATCTAATTTTGAGAACAAAAAATCTTTTGTCAATATTTTCAAAAGGATGTTTCTAAAACATTTTGGGACAATCATCCTAGAGATGTTGCATTGGAAACATCGCAGCGATGTACCATTTATGTCGGAAACATAAGGACCTTTATGGCACATAAATGGGATGTTTCTGGCAGATCGGTGTTATTAGGGAGTAGCGTTCTTTTTTATGATGGATTTCCATTTAAATCCTATATACTCATATTTAAAAGTAGCAAGAGGTTGGGCACAAAATGGCGGCGTTTTCCATATGAATATATAGGATTTTGAAAAACCAGTCAAAAAGAAGACGGCAATTGTCGCCACTGTGG